AGGGTGAAAAGACATCTATTTTGGTGCGTGTTCATGCAGAGAAGAGAGCAGAGGATACAGGTGTCCTTCACTCTGAGAGCAGTGACCTCTGAGTCGCCGCCGCCGTCGCACACAAAGACATCAGTAGCTGTGAGGCGATGACATCCGATGTCCAGAAAAACAGCAACATTTTTTTTACAATGGGGAGGATTTTTATAGAACAACAATATGGTGTAGGGCCACGCAGATAGGGTGGCTAGTAGTCTTGCCTTACAGCAAGATGATCACAGGTTCAATCCCATATGATTTTTTTTGTATGGATTATGAATGTTCTCGCTGTGGATGAATGTTTTTTTTTTTCAGATACTAAAGTTTTTAGGATTAGAATAATTTCTCACTCTACATTGACCTAAATTGGCCATTCTGTCAGTAGAATAATCAGAAAAACTATTCATTCATTCATTTTCTACAGATATATACATTGTTTAAACCAGAACTAGTGACTAGACTTTTACCCCTTGTTGTCTTCATCCTGCCTAAGCATCCATGCATGCTGACTAGACTTTTGTTTTCTTAGAAATTCAACACTAGAACATGACAAAATACAGGCATGAATACGTGACCAGTTTACATATAGATGTATAGAATGTTAAGGACTAAGAGTGAATGCAGTATTCTGGCTGCGACTGTATCCCAGGAAGGTCCATTAACACCTCCAGGGGGAGGAACCCTGCCCCCCCTATAAACAGCCCAGCCGGAGGTCCATCCTAATGGGCTGAGCTCATTCCCAGCCCGGCCTGCGCCAGGTGTGGAAGCCGAGCCTGTAATTGAAAATTAGGAGGCAATAACCCAGCATTCAGTGCAGGCCTCACAACAGGAGAGGAGCCGGGCCTCACGCTGTCACTCAGTCAGAGGCTGAGGAAACAGGAGAATTATGGTGGAGAAGGAGGGAAAAAGAGGAGCTATAATTAAAAAAAAAGAGGCACCAGAGAGAGACACATGCAGAGACAGACACGAGACAAGACAGAGAGACAGGACACAGAGATTTACGGCTGTGATTCTCCACACAATTCAAATGATTGACATGTGCAGCTGTGCAGCACCTCAAAGACAGAGGTCAAAGTTGACGTCTTATAAATCTATTTTGTCTTCAGTGTCAAACCAACACATCTTATTTATCATTTCTGCTCTAATCAATGGTGTCTAACTTTGAGCTACTTGTTTTTTATCTGCTACTCCGGCTACTTGTCAGCTTTACACCAGCGGAGCTTTAGCAGCTGTTGTCAGGGTGACATTATTTTTTGACACTGTCTTTCACATGGTTGGTTATTTAGATATTTTTGGTTTGGACATTTGCCCGTGATGAGTGCTGTTTTATTCATTATTGTATTCATTGTCATTTTGCATTTATCCTGTTTGGTGCTGTAGAAATGCATTAAGCCCTTGGAGAAGTGATCAATCAGGAGCTAATGGGTTGTAATTGCACGCAGGCGGGCCCCACATCAGAGGCACCAGGGTCTCTGGATAGCAGAATAATCACATGTACAGTAAAGAATTGCTTATAACAGATTTGGTCCCCGGGGTAAAGGTTAAGGTAATTTCCAACTCATTTTCCTTTTGAAAGCCATTATTATCATCCCAGTCATACTTTGCATTAAACATCAGGCCTAATAAACTGAGTGGTTTTGAACAGACACACAGGAAGAAGAGAAGATTCAGGCGCCAATTAAAACAAAACGTCACTCAAAGCTAAATATTACTCCTTCTGTGCTAACCTTTAGCAATTTTATTTTACCACGAAGAAGAGAAGATTCAGGCGCCAATTAGAACAAAACTCAAAGCTACTGCTTCTGTGGTAACCTTTAGCAATTTTATTTTACCAATGTTTTGCTTTAGGCTAATTTTGTAATATTAACTAATCTCTCTGTTGTTGAGCAAATATTCAGTACTGCTAGAATTAAATTCTTCCAAGGTAAGATTCCTCTAATCTGACTTACTTAAACCGCTTTTGCTAAATTAAAGTTAAATTTTTTTGGGCCCAACTGATTTTTTATAGGCAGGACAAAGTTTACTGCGGCCCAACTAATTCACGGTTCAGATCTCCACCAAAGTTTATTTAAAACACTCTAATATTAATATTCAGGGAATGAAATTACAGTCCAATTTCCCAGATGATGGTTCCTAAAAAGAAAATGTTGAAAGTGAAATTAATTTGCCTCACTGCATCCCCCTTTAATAGCTTTGTGTCCTATGGGCGCAGAGGGGACTCGCCCCTCACCTTGGGAACCATTGCTCTAAAAGATGATGAAGTGTGAAAAATACAATTGCCAAGATGAAAACTGAAATCTACTTCCATTAAACATCTTTTGTAACTAACGCAGCGAGAACGTCTCTATTAAAATGTGCTTTTAAACTTCTCCTTTTATTTTCCTAGAAACCAACCACCTGACTATATGCAGTTTGATGTTATCTCAACAGCTGGCTGTTACTGTCAGTTGATCGCTGGCATATGCCCAAGTCATTGCACACACAGTCAAAGAGCCACAACAAGCGGCAGAGCCTGATAACACCGCTGGATCGTTTAAGGTAAACTTTGGGAAACGTGTCGTCGGTCTCTGCAGACTTTTCTCACGGGAGGCTCTGTGCTGTTTGTCAGGGAAGTGCAGGGGAAAGAAAATCCCCGTGAGGCTGCAGAATCCACGCCTCATGTTTTTTTCATACAGCGTTAAAGAAAGCAAACTGCCGTGTACAAAACACACTTCTTTAGCTTCACACTAAGACATGGTGGCATCAGCCCAACCCTAGAGGAGGAAACTGAATTCCAAGAATTTGTTGGGAGATGGGGATGTGACCATGAAACACCAAGTTCTCTAAGACAGTGGTTCTCAAACTTTTTATACTCTGTACCACATTGAAACATTGAGCTCTCATGGTGAGTACCAGCATGATGACCAAGAAGAATATAGCAGCATAGGCCTTCCCTGTTAGCTTCCACCACATGGGAGAGATGTTTATGTTGTTGTATAATTGTGCATGGTATGTTTCAGATTTATTCAATTGAAAATGTGAGAATATGAATTTTCCCCTCGTACCATTACAGTACCATAGTTTGAGAACCACTGACTTTTTCAAATACATCCCGTTTATTTCTTTCATCAAAGATGCAGTCACTGCAGATACAGTCCAACAATAATGAATATATTGCAGTTGTGGTGTTGAATTAGCTTCTGTCCTCATCTAAGGCTGAAGATCAGCACCAGTTAAAATATAATGCATAGTTTTGTGTCAAATTTTGTTTTTATAAATGTGAGGGAGATTGAGGTGAAAGAATTTCTTGCATCAGAGCAAATAAATGAGTGGGGAAAAGAAGTGTGTAGTGTACCTTCTCTCCATCTGATAAGCCGGACCACTTGGCAAATTAATTAGTTTTACACTAACACAGCAGTGTTTTCTTCTCTGGTGTTTTCTCTCTTCTCCTCTCCAGTGCCCACGTATTGATGCAAAGGCTGCTGGAAGAACAAGTAAACACTTTCAGGGAGTTAATTCTGCCTGTGCCGCACCAGAAGATAAACAAAATAGTCATGAACACAACACCGGTCTCAGTGAAACGTGGTCTTACAGTCAGCAGATACAGTTTGGAGGATTTTCTTTTTTTTTTGCCGCAGTTTCATGGCATTTTTTTTTTTTTTTTTTGCCACAGTTTCATGGCGATTAGTGAAAACAATGTCTTTTCTGGGAGGCTGCAGTGGCCGCGGCCCACCATTATGGGCCCCATTTCCTCATAATGAACAGATTATGAGAAAATGAGCAAATGGGCAGCAGGACCCAAATGGGTTAAAGCCCCCCTGCTCCTCATAAATAGGACACCAACAGTGAGAGAGACGCACAAGGACTATTAACACCGCAACCTCACAGTGGTAATGGTGTGTCTTTACGTTCATCCTCCACCTTTATCGTCTCTCCGTGGTCGCTTTGTGTCTTTTATCTGACATTTATGTCCTCAACCTCCGCAGCCTTGATCGGGTAATTCTGATGCACATAGAACCTGAAAGAAAAACATTAAGTTCATCACACAACTGTGGTCGAGTTTCAGAGGTAAATCTGCTGCAGAGCCGACTGTGCCTTCAGTTGCAAATAAATACTAATTTACCAAAATTATTACAGGAAAACAAAAAAAAGAAATGAACAAAGACAAGATAAGAAAATGACACAAGTAAAAAATATCTTAGACAATTCAAACTCTTTAGGTTAATATTGTTTGTATGATGATAAAATAATTTGATTTAACATCTTCCATTAGCTACTGTTTACATTAGAAAATCCCCAAAAACCAAGAGATGTTTTTATTTCAGCATTGTTTAATGACAAAAGTAAATTATTCTGCAGAGATACTGTATTTCCTGAAATGTATTTTCATACTTTGCACTTTCATACTCAGTATAAGAGTGGACGTGTGACGTTGAGACAAACGAGAAGCTGAACACACGGATCACGACCTTTTTCACGAGGAGTGGTCGCTAAATAGGCCTGAGCAGAAGACTCTGTGGACCACACACGCACACACTTTTCCCCCCATCATGCATCTATGTCTCGGCTCGTTTCGGTTTCAGCCTCCTATCGGGAAAAACTGTCCAGGCATTTCCACTGAACAGCTGCACATGATCAGTAATGGGGGAAAAATGAGCAGCAGTTATGAATGTCATTTGCAGCAACTGCTTATGGAGTGAAAAAGGGGGAATCAGGGGTGTGTGAATGCGTGTGTGGAGAGAGAAAAAGAGAAAGAGAGAAAGAGAGAGAGAGCGAGAGAGAGAGTGATTGAAGGTCATAATGTTACATTTTAGCACCAGTTTCTCCTTCCTGTGCGGCTCAGGGGGGAAATCCTCTTTGTGTCATTTTTACATTTGGGACTTTTTGATTCAAAAGGAAAGACAGCAATCTGCGTCCATCTGTAAGTCAGGCCTCAATCGTCTGGTTTCTCTCTTCACTCTCGTGTTGTTTTCTC